TATTTTAAAAAAATAGACTTCATGGGGGAAAAAAAAAAAACCCTGAACTCATGGTCTGAGGTACATATTTAAGGGGAGTAGCATAAACTTTTTAGGCCCTAGGGCCTCTAAAGGTTTTATGCACACCCTGAAAAATCACCTCTAAAATATAAGCAGAAATAAACTGCAGGTTTAATAGCGCAAAATGCCTAGACTTGATACTAAAATAACAGGGCAGGACCTCTCAGGCCATCTGTCGGTGGCAGAGAGAGTTTCCACACCCACTGCGGTTGGTGCCAGGCTTTTCTGGTGATCCAGGGCTTTGTTAGGAGCTATGTAAGTTCATAAAGAAGAAACTCCTGGCCACCCTGTTTAAAACAGCAACAGGCTCACCCTGGGGCGCCGGGCATCCTTCCTTCTTTTCCCTTCTCTATTTCTCCCTCTGGTACTTCTTTACCATACTAGGTTTTGCTTACTCTTTATTACTTTTGTATGAATCAGAAGAGAAAGAAACATTGACACGCTAAGGCAAAAACAGACACGGGGCATCCCTGGTGGCGCAGTGGTTGAGAGTCCGCCTGCCGATGCAGGGGACATGGGTTCGTGCCCCGGTCCGGGAGGATCCCACATGCCGCGGAGCGGCTGGGCCCGTGAGCCGTGGCCGCTGAGCCTGCGCGTCCGGAGCCCGTGCTCCGCAACGGGAGAGGCCGCAACGGTGAGAGGCCCGCGTACCGCAAAACAACAACAACAACAACAAAAAACAGACACGTGTGAAAGCTTTGGGGTATGGAAGTTCTTGGGATTCAGGCAGCAGCATGACATGCCACCATGGTATATGGGTGGCTATCATGGAAGATACGCTCAGATCTATCACTGGAAAAGAAGTGCAGAGTGCCTTACTTGTCTAGCTGTTTATTTTCTCTCTCAGCTCTCACCACTAAAATGTAAGCTCTGAAGGGCAGAGATTCTTGTGGGTCTTGTTCACTGCTTGTGGCAGAGCAGCTAATCTGCCCAGGGGCCATCCTTCCCTCCTTCTTTTTAGTCATGGAAGCCCCACCTCCACTCAGCATTAGCGGGGCACATGGTTGCCAACTAGAGCACATTTCCTCTTGCTTCTCAATCAGGCTCTGCATCTAAGCAATTGCTAATAAATTGTAAATATAGAGATTATCATACTAAGCGAAGTCAGACAGAGAAAGACAAATATCATATGATAACACTTATATGTGGGATCTAAAAAAAAATGACACAAATGAGCTTATTTACAAAACAGAAACTGAGAAAACAAACTTCTGGTAACCAAAGGATAAAGGTGGGAGTGGGGAAGATAAATTAGGACTTTGGGATTAACACATACACACTACTATATATAAAATAGATAATCAAGAGGGACCTGCTGTATAGCACAGGGAACTCTACTCAATACTCTGTAATAACCTATATGGAAAAAGAATCTGGAAAAGAGATAAATGTATATGTGTAACTAAATCACTTTTGCTGTAAACCTGAAACTAACACAATATTGTAAATCAACTATACTCCAGTATTAAAAAACAATTTTTAAAGTCGTTTTTTAATTTTCAGGTACTGCCTGAAAATGATTGGCCCCTTCCTGCAGACTGGACACAGACATAGTGAGGATGAGCCACATAAGGACAACACCTCGAGAAAGGCCAGGCCACAAAACAGAAGGAGCCCAAGTTCTCTGAAGACATACAGAACAGAGTCACGTACCAGGCCCAGCTGCCTGCTGACTTCTACACGGCGAACGAGAGAAAAATAAATGTCAGTCTTATTTTGGGGTCTCTTTCTTACAGCTCTGTGATGAACTGATGAATTGTGTTTTCCCAAAACTCATATGTTGAAGCCCTGATCCCAAATATGACTGAACTTGGAGATATGGATTATAAGGGTTAAATGAGGTCATAAAGGAGGGGCCCTATCCAACAGGGACTGGTATCCTTATAAGAAGAGGAAGACACACCTCTCTCTCTCTCTCAATGCTCACACCAAGGAGAGGACACAGTGAGAAGATAGCCATCTACAAGCCAGGAAGAGAGGCCTCACCAGATATCAACCCTCGTGGCACCTTGATATTGGACTTTTGGCCTCCAGAACTATGAGAGAATACATTTCTGTTGTTTACAATACCCACCCTGCGGTGTTTTGTTATGGCAGCCCCAGCGGACTGACACAGACTCTTAGCCTGTACCCTAATACAGCTGACATTTGAACAACACGGGGGTTAATCCACTTATTACTTATTGTGTTCTCTGTATCCACAGTTCTTCCATATCTGTAGATACAACTAATGACAGGCCATGTAGTGCTGTAGCATTTACTATTGAAAAATATCCACGCCTAAGTGAACCTGTGCAGTTCGTGCTGTTCAAGGATCAACTGTACACTGCTGCATCCCTAGTGCCTAGAACAGTGAGTGGAAATTAGTAGATGTGCAATAAATATTATTTGGATAAATAGTGAATAGAACACAAAGACAATATTTAATCTGTATGGTGCTATAAAGATATAAAGAATGAACAGAATCTAATAGATTATATCTGTGCATTCACCCATCCAAACATTCATCTTTCTATCACCCTGGTTGTATTTTCAGGCAAATGAAACCTCATCTTTGAATTCTGATCAGTGCCTTCTCTCCCACAGTCCACCCTGAATCTACCCACTCTCAACTCCTGCTAATTTTACCACCTCTATCACTCTATAATTTTCTACCATTACAATGGTCACATCTCCAGCCCAGATCCTATTATCTCTTGCTTACTTTATGATAATTGCTTCCAAACCATTCCCTCTTGTCAGTGTAGCTGAACCTGTTGTGGAGACTTCTAGTGCCTTCTCTTAAGTCTATTTTGTCTTCCGGGAACAGATCCCTCATTTTATCTAGTTTGGCAAATATACTCTGTGAAATAACCCTAATTCTCCACTGCTTCTGCAGCCTAGGTGTAAGACAGGACTCAATTCTGGCTGAGGAGATATAAGTGGAATTTGTTGGGTGAGGTTTCTGGAAAACCTCTTTCAAAGAGTAGAAAGCTGGGACCAGGCTACTTTTTACCCTTTCCCCCACTCCTTTATTTTTGTTGCCTAGAATTTGGGAGTGATTGCTGGAGCTCTAGCAGCCATATGGAAATATGGAAGACTGAGGAGAGAAGGAGATAAAGAAACTATGTCCCTGAGGAGTTTGTGGAGCTGCCATACCAGCCCTGGATCGCCTATCTCCAGGCCTCTTGAATATAACAGTGAAATACACTTTTTAACGTGTAAGCCATTGCACTCAGGTCTCTGTAATTATCAGCTGAACACAATTCCTAACTGATACAGAACCCATGGCTTTCACGCTGTCAGCTTAAATGTGCTGATGCATATGTTGAGTGCAGCTATAGAAAACACAATCCCGCAAGGTAGATAGGAAGCATTTCAGTAGCCTCATTTTACAGATCTTTATCCTACTAGGGTTCAGGATGCTACAGTTACTAGATGTCAGAGAAAGGACTAGAACCCAAGTCTCAGATGAAGCTGAGGGGTGACAAGGAACTATGGAACTATGGTGTGAGCTATGGGATTTGGAGATTTTATACTTGCACACATGCATGGGCATGCAACCACATACACACACACGGAATCTCCTGTGGATATGTGTTGCTTTTGCCTGTCTCCATACCATCTACCCTCTTCCGGTAACAAAACCCCTCTCTTCTGGGACAGCTGGTCTTTCAGCTGAAGTTGGTGATCACGTGCCTCTAGGTGGGCACGTAATCCCAGCCGTCTTGACAATGTGATTGGTCCAGAAGTAGTCATGTAACCCAATCAGAGCCGAAGTTCTTTCTGAGACTGTCACTTATTCACTGTATGTGACCTTGGGCCCATGTGTATCTTGAAGGCTCTGTCTCCTTATAAAAACATGATGGTAAGTCTATTACCTGCTCCACTTGGTGGTTCTACGAATGAGCTAAAACAATTTAGTAAAGGGCCCCGGCATATGGTGGATATTCACTTACTATTAGCTGTTCATTAGATTTCTTTGGAAAGCTCTCAATTCCCAGGACACCGTCAGTCTCTAGAATAGAAACTACTGTTACATAATATTAACAATTAAGCCCCCAAACCCCACTTAAATCTCCTCTTCTGCTTGCTCACTTGTTCCCCATCACACAAACAAGAGGTTTCTGTCTCTGAGTTTCAGAATAATCACTTCAACTGATTTAAGTGATGAAAAGACAAACCTTGGGGACAGTCCCCATCCTTTGTCTGTCTCCAGCATGGCAAACACAATCAATGGGATTAAGAAAGTCTGCATTTCTTCTCAATCTGGCAATCTTAAAAACTAGAGATATGTTCATTCCAATTTGAATCAACAGTCCCGAAACCATGTGAAACACAAATGTTTGGATGTGGTCATGGTATTTATTCAAAGTATATTTTCACAATGTATTAATAATGGAGGATAACACTTATTCATATATTGATATAACTTCCTGGAGCACTCTGGAGTTTGTTTGGCTTTGGGGAATACTGCCAGGTTTCTCCTAATCTCTTTGGTTTTTGGAAATGGGAGGGCTTCTCAAATCGAGTGTCTGACATGGGCCACGACCTTTCTTCAATCAGGCTGGAAGGGCAGAAGGACCACGGCTTTGGCACTTCCATTTTGGAAAGGAGAAAAACACAGGACTTCCAAAGATGAATGGACTCCAAAGATGAATGGGCGATGAGAAAGCCTCAGGCATCTTGTACTCCACAGTTCATTTCTTCTCATAAATGCTACCAATTACTGCAGCAGCCATGGACACTGGCAGGGTTTCAGGCTCAGGGCTCAAAGGCGTCAAGTCACCAGCTAATATTTTCATACAAAAGTCAATCCTGATGACTGAGAATCCGGTTTTGGGTGTCGAAGGTCACCCCGACCCCGTGCATCCTCTGTCGCAATTGTTAACACAGACACCATTTCAGAATATCATGGCCAAACAGTGAGCGGCTCTCATTTGCTCAATGTCACTCTGTAATGAAGCTGCTTGGGGGACCCTCCATTTAACCACAGAGAGACCAAGGCACCATGAACTGAAGTAAAGTATTGATAAGAATAACAACAACAAGAACAAAGTCCAACTCTCTTCCCAAAAAGGCATGTCCAAAAGCAAGGGTAAACAGTTGGTCTTATTTTTTCCAAGTGACTCTGTCCACTGGAAGTTGTCCTTTAGCTTCTCCCTTTTATTAAAAGCGTTTACATTTCTGAGTCTGATGATCACTTAAATACATATAACATTAGCACCAAGGCAGCGACTTCTTTCCCAGAGATCACATGAAACTGAATAGATATTTAACATAATTAATAGCTGGTACAAACTGTGACATCACTGAATTACTGATTGGCTAATGATACGTTCCTAGAAATGCCAAATATATCCTCATACGATTCTTGTAGCACCTTGATGGCGGCTAGGTTGTTTTTTTTTAAAAAATTACGGTTTTAAAAAAGTAACAATAAAACATTTACAGATAGAAAGTAAACAACAGTGTACCGTGATAATGAAGGATCACTTTTGTCAAAGTACTACATATAATGTAGAGTACGTAAAATGCAGTGGTCTGACTGCAGGGGACAAAATAACGTGAAAGGCAGTCATAAAAGAATCATTTTACGTACAAAAATATTACATCACAATAAATAATTTCAAACATAAATATTAAACTTTACATCATAAGGATATTCCACATTTATACACACACACATATATACATGTGTATATATGTGTGTGTATATATGTATATATATATGCATATGTACACACACACCCAGGCACACAAGTCCTCACACACATACACGCTCACACACATACACCCAAATTTTAAGGTGGAGGTATTTCATCACTATCCTTCATCCATTCCATAACGGCTTCCTCTTCAGAGCACCTGAAAACAAATGAACCAACCAGGAAATGTAAATCTTCTGTCTCAAATGACATAAGTCAAGAGAAGGTAAACCATAAATTTTTACATATAGAACTTGAAAATAACAGTTACTATTTCCTCTGGATTTAAAAAATAACACTTGCTACAAGAAACATGGAAATTCCAGGGGTGTATAAAGAATAAAATAAAAACCATCAGCCTGTGATTCCCCAATCTGAGATAATGTTCTTCAGATACTGCTGTATTTCCTTCTAGCCTTTTTTATACATGCACGTAAATGTTATGTATCTGTGCTCACTCAAATGTTACTGTACATAAAATACATATAAAATTTACTTTATTGGATATAAAATATATAAAATACATATTGAATGGGAATCTCTAATGGATACCTGCTGACTCTGCCTGCCTCTCTCCCCTCTTTTCTGGTAAACTCCTTCTGGTTCTTTGGCAACCATCCCTCTTCCAAATGAAGCTGTCAGTCAGTCACCCGACTCTAGGTGGGTATATGATCCCAGTCTCCTGGACACTGTGATTGGTTTGGAAATGGCCATGTGACAAATCAGAGCCAGAGTTCTTATGCAGAACAGATGCCGGAGATGAGCATTTACTTGGAGCCGTGAGCTGTAAAGATGATGTAAGCCTAGAACTGCCAGGGACCATGGTGTGGAGGAGATGATCTGCCTGAGAATGAAGCCACTTAAGAAGCAAGCATTGTTGATGGACGGAGAAAGAAAGAGTCCTGATGACTCTGAGAGTCTAGATCCAGCCATGCCTGAAGTCAGACCACCGCTTGGACATCTCAGTTACTTAACACAGTAAGTTTCTTTTTCTTTTTCTTTTTCTTTCTCTCTTTTTTTTTTCCCCCCCTGTGGCCTCCTGAAGTGGAAATAATCCTAATGTGAGATCATAAGGTTGAATATGGATTTTTAATTAAACACTGACACCGATACATAAGTGTCAACTAGGTATTGCTTTGCCAGGATCCTGAAGAGCCTAACAGGGTAATGGGCTGCTGGAAGCTTGAGGGAAGTTGTAGGAGGGTCGCCTGCGTTGGCTGAGCCCTTGTACGTAAAAGGCACTGGGATGAGAAAAAGAGTCATCAGTTCAGTCCTCTGCCCAGCAGAGGGACAACTTGCTGGCATACTATAGTTACACCAGGAATTGTCAAACTTTAACAGGCACGACTCTCCTGCGGATTTGTTAAAGGGCAGATTCTGACTCTGTAGGTCTAGAATGAGGCCTGAGATTTTGCACTCCTAGTAAGTTCCCGCGCGATGAGGATCACGCTGGTCCTTGGATCACACTGTGAGTTACAAGCGTGCGGAAGAGTACGTTAACTGAGAGGCTCTGGGGTAGGGACACTCCTGGGTTATTGCCAAGGGAATCCATCTGACCTTAAGCCAGCTACTTAATTGCTGTGGATCTCAGCTTCCATCTGTAAAATGAGGATAACAGCCCTAGGCTGTGGCTTTGTGGTGAGGATTCACTGAAATAATGCCTGCCCGGCGCTCAGCATGGTGCCTGACACACAGTCAGGGCTTAATGAACGTCATTTATATTACACTTGGAACACTCCTTGGCAGTATTTCTCAAAGGGTGATCTGTGAGTTACCTGCATCAGAATTCCCTGCATTAAAAATACAGGTTCTTGGATCCACCAGAGACTTAATGAAGCAGGACTTCTAGAGATGGAGCCCAGTAAGCAGCACTTTTAATAAGCACTACAGAGGAATCTGGTACAGGACGTCTAGGGACTGCATGTCCAAGAATGGAGAACAGATGGCCTCAGGCACATGAGGATAGATGAGCAGGAGAGACAAAGGTCAAATAGCACTGAGTCAGCTTCACCTGCCTAGGGGCAAATGACCCGCCCACATCTGCTAATCATTAGGCTACAGAAAGAATGAGACAGAGTCAGAGACAGACAGACACTTACCTTAACTATAAAACTCGAACCTCCAGGCCAGTGCCAGAGGATGGAGCACATTTTCCACAGTAACCACCGCATTTCCCTACGACCCGGGTACCATCCTGCAAAAAGATGCATCATCTTAGTTCACCTGCTTGGCTCGTATGTTTCCAGGGCTTGCACTGGCTTTTAGGGAAATCATTCCTGTACACACACTAGGTAGCACTTCTGAATAGAAGCGGGGCCCAACATCCTCACCATGGTCTAAAGTAGGGGCTGATGAATGATGGCCTGTGGGCCCCTGTTTTTGTATGGCCCACATCTTAGCAGATTACATCCTCTTCGAGAATGAGAAAACACTAGGGCAGAAAAACTGAAGTGTAATTGACCTGTACTTTTACACAGACCATTCATGGAGAGTAATTCTTTAGTCCCTTCACACTCAGCATGGTCCTCTCAAATAAACAACAACTGAAAAGTCTCAGTAAAATCTACCTACTGATCAAGAACCAAAGGAAACCACTCAAAAGAACTGCTTTGCTTTTTTTAAAAAATAAATTTATCTTTATTTATTTATTTTTGGCTGTGTTGGGTCTTTGTTGCTGTGCGTGGGCTTTCTCTAGTTGCGGCGAGCTGGGGCTACTCTTCATTGCGGTGCGCGGGCTTCTCACTGCGGTGGCTTCTCTTGTTGCAGAGCACGGGCTCTAGGCCCGTGGGTTTTAGTATTTGTGGCACGCGGGCTCAGTAGTTTTGGCTCGTGGGCTTAGCTGCTCAGTGGCATGTGGGATCTTCCCAGACCAGGGCTCGAAGCCACGTCCCCTGGGCAGGCGGATTCTTAACCACTGTGCCACCAGGGAAGTTCTTTGCTTTTTAACTGATTATTGATGTAGCTCCCAATGTTAAGAACAGCATTTATATTTTATAGTTAAGAAGCAAACCGAGAATACTATTTCTTGATATGTGGAAATGATATAAAATTCAAATTTCAGGGTCCATAAAATTTTATTGGAACACAGCCACGTTCATTCATTTCCCTCATGTCTGTGGCTGCTTTCAAGTTACTACAGCAGGGGTGAGTGGTCAAGATGGCCCTTGCAGCCTCACGCTGCTACCCTGCACACACATCACGGTGACACAGTGTAACGTGATAGCGTTCTGAGTGCCATGAGTGTTGCTATATCATAATATTTTCTTGCGCTTCTTTTATTACCAGTATATGTCAAAACAAGAAAAGAAGACAAAAGTAGACTTTACTATTGCACTTTATTATTTTAAGATTTTTTTTTTTTTTGATGTGGACCGTTTTTTAAAGTCTTTATTGAATTTGTTACAACATTGCTTCCATTTTATGGTTTAGTTTTTTTTGGCCATGAGGCATGTGGGTTCTTACCTCCCCGAGCAGGGATCGAACCCGCACCGCCTGCGTTGGAAGCTGAAGTCTTAACCACTGGACTGCCAGGGAAGTCCTGACTATTGCACTTCTAAGGTACAGTAGCATGTAGATTATTCTGTTGTCACATTTAGATGGCAAAGCATTGTGTTCATCATGCGATGGCACTGCAGCTGTGCTAAAAGAATACAATATACCAACATCACCACATTCAGCATGTGTCACAATATTCCCAACTCACAGGAGAGCAACGGTCAAGAATTTAGAAAACTTAGAACAGAATATCTCACCATAGTGTAATCCTTCACAAAAATAAAAAATCAAAATGAGTAAGAATAAAAGAGGAAAATGTGTAGGTTTCCAAATGGCTCATTTGTTAGCAAAACAAATAAATGTTTTCTTTGAGTTAATGATATCTTGTTTAATTGTAATTGCTGAAGAAATGTGTCCAGAGAAGAGCAACTTGTTTAAGACTGTTATCCTTTTGGTAAGACCAGTTGCTCAACAATTTAATGACATTTGGGAGCCGCATCAATAATCAATTAAAAAACAAAGCAAATAACTGGAGTGGTTTCCTTTGGCTTTTGGTGAGTAGATAGATTTTACTGATACTCTTCAGTTGTTTATTTGAGGAGACCAAGCTGAGTTTGAAGTGATCAAAGAATTAGTCTCCATGAATGGTCCGTGTGGAAGTATTTCAAAGAGGTTGAGAAAACACTAGCGCAGAAAAACTGAAGTGTAATCTGCTAAGATGCATTCACGACTAATCATGGTAAGAAATATGTGCGGAGCGGGAAAAGCTTTAGTTGGACCGATTTACAGCTTGTGAAAATGTACGATGTTTAAAGCCTGTGATTATTCACTGTGGAAAATACATGGACCTACCTGGTGTTACAGAACCGGTGGTGTTAATAATGAACTTCTTTTTCTATCATAAACTTAACCTGCATCAGTTTTGGAAATTTGGGGTCAGGACCAGAAGCTGAATACCCTGACTTATCCTAACACACAGCAGATTGATGACTCAGCAGTGGTAAAGTTTTACTGTGATTTTGAGCTCAGGGCTGGGATTAAAAATTTTCTGAACAAGAAGAACTGTTCTCAATCACTGTCATTGAACACTTAATGGCTTTGGACATTATCTTTTGCTACTGACTTGATAATGTTTCTTAATGAATGGGAGCTAAAATTACAAGGCAAAAACTGCACTTATAGGCAAAAGTTACACTGTGGTAAAGTCATTTCAATAACTAACATTGTTTGAATCATAAATCACGTTAAGGCAGGTTGCACACTTCCCACTCTGTCAAATGTTAAAACAAGAAGCTTTATCGCTATTCCACGTACACTTATAGTGGATATATTTTCTGAGCATGAAATACAGTTCCAGCAGTATTTTTTGGACTTGGACGTAAGCGCAAAGGAAATTTTCATATTTCAAAATCCATCTAATGAGGTAATTGAGGGGCTTCCATCTCGCCTTCAATTACAAGTGATTCATCTGTAATGTAATGACACATTGAAAGGCAGGTATCAAGTGAAAAATCTAATAGAATTCTACCAATGCCGGCCAAGGCATGAATATGGTCAATTTAAATGATATGGTTGTGGACAATATTAGTATTTGGCAATACCTATCCCTGCAAAATGACATTTATAAAGATGAAGTATAGAAAATCTCATTTCAGATCCGCATTAACAGATAAACATTTAGAATCAATTTTTTTTTTTTTTTTTTTGCGGTACGCGGGCCTCTCACTGTTGTGGCCTCCCCCGCTGCGCAGCACAGGCTCAGGACGCGCAGGCCCAGTGGCCATGGCTCACGGGCCCAGCCGGCGGCATGTGGGATCTTCCCGGACCAGGGCACGAACCCGCGTCTCCTGCATCGGCAGGCGGACTCTCAACCACTGCGCCACCAGGGAAGCCCCTAGAATCAATTTTGACAGCAGAGAACACGAATTAAGCAAAATGTTGTCCTCTCTCAATATTTCATACTTTTCCTTGGTAGATCTGGATAACAAAAATTTATACTCAATTATTATTACACTTTGAATTGAATCACTAAAATCACTAAGATTTTTATGTCAATTTGTTCTTGCTCTTGTCATATAAATACATATATAATATCAATGGTTTTTACCTCTTGGCTGGCAAAGTCTAAAATATTTACTAGCTGGTCCTTTACAGAAAAAGTTTGCTGAACCCTGGTCTCCAGCCTTGTACGGGCTGACCCTGCCTGCCTGTCTGGATTTGTCTTGTCCCATCTTTTTCTCTCTACTCCCCCTCCTCCGCATTTCTTTGGGTCGTTCTTCTAACACGCCTCTTATAACACAGGGCCTTTGCACATGCTACTCCTCTCACTGGAACTCTCTTCCCTCGCCCTCTCTGTGTGCACTGGACCACCCAACTTTTGCCCAGTATATTCTTCAGAACCCAGCCCAGAGGCCACTTCCCCTGAGAAACCTTTCTGACGCAGTTACCTGCTGCACAGCACCCTATAACATGGGGTAGTTCTCTCTTTATGTCTGTCTTCCCCCTGGAATGTAAGCCCCATGATGGCAAGGCCAGTGCCTTGTTAAAATCCGAGGGTTTCCAGAAGCTAGCTGTGTGTGGCTCATGACGGTTTTAATACGCATCTGGTGAATGAGTGAAAGCAGAAGGCTGAACAGGTACACTCTTCTTGGTGAACTGCAATTCAGATGGCCCTGCTAATCAGTCCCCTCAATGCTTCCCCGTGCTAAGAAAAGCTCCTTGTTTCACTGTGGCACCATATCCCAGTCTGAAAATTACGAGGTCATATGAGCCACCCCCTACCCCTGACTGCTGAACAAGGTTTGGCATCTAAGGTGTTCTACATTTTCCTCTACTGGGACAAAGAGTGGTGTGAACCATACTTGTGCATGCATTTCAGGATATCTTTGGGCTGTATTTGATTCATATGGTCAAACTATGAAAGTCTCTTGAAAACAATGGATACTCTCACTTAAAAAAAAAAAGAAAAAGAAAAGGAAAAAGAAGAAACTTTCCCATTTTGCAGGAAAAAAACCAAACAGAAAAAATAGTTCTACTCTTTTAAAAATTTGCATGTTTTTGATTATGAGTGAGGTTAAGTTGGGAGATCGATTTCTATCACCCTACTTGGTCTTGGTTTTAGGGACCCCTGTTAGTTTTGGAGCTAGTCTGATATTATCAACTAGATTTGATGCCAGAACAACTGGTTTTCTAGCCAGGAACTTTTTCCCTAAGCTGAAGTATACGTCTGGTGGCCCTAAGGATGCTGACATAGTAGGGATGTCTTTTGTCTCATCAAAGCTTATTTTTTACCCAAACTCTTCCTGCTCTGGCAGCAGAGATCAGATTGCCTCAGGCTTGTATCATGTCTTTAATAACCTCTTTAGGGCTTCCCTGGTGGTGCAGTGGTTGAGCGTCTGCCTGTCGATGCAGGGGACACGGGTTCGTGCCCCGGTCCGGTAAGATCCCACATGCCGCGGACAGGCTGGGCCCATGAGCCATGGCCGCTGAACCTGCGCGTCCGGAGCCTGTGCTCCGCAACGGGAGAGACCACAACAGTGAGAGGCCCGCATACCGCAAGAACAAACACAAAAAGAAAAACAAAAAATCTCTTTAAACCTCAGTTTCCTGGTGCATCTGTAAAATGGGGATAATATGAGTCTCCCCTTATAGGTTTGCTGCAAATGAAAGAAAGCATACAAAGTGCTCAGCATAGCAGTT